GGGCCAATTTTTATGCAATTCTGTCTCTCCTACAATACCCAGCTCAAGCCCTCACACACATAGGGGCCCCGTGTGTCCTGGAAGGCAGAGAAGGGCAGGCTAAGCAAGTAAGAGCTGTTGGTCTGTGGAAGTATTTCCTCATCTTTAGAGGACTGATTACCAATCTGCCAAAGACGCAGGGGCCAGGGTGAGGGGCCCCACGGCTCCACCTCAGGCAACCAGAAACAGTCATGAGGTGCCACTAGACGACATACCAGGAGGCAGGCCACTGAGCAGCAGGGCCTGCAAGTTGGTAGAACTGGGGAGGCTGTCCTGGGGGGTTGGGGGGAAAGCCGAGGAGGGCAGGGCATGCTAGCCAGGCCTGCTGCGCTGAAAGCAGCAGACGGGTAATTTCCAAATGACCATTTCAAAGGAAGGTTGAATTTCTCCAAGATAAGAGGGAGAGCAGGGAGCATGCCTATATCTCTAACCCCCTGAGCTCACGGCCGTGATAATAGCTGTGGGGTTGGAAACCTAATGCTGATGAAAGAGTTAAAGGGTGGCTGCGGGCAGCTATCGGTGACACTGCTAGCAATTGAGCATGCTCCTGGAGCACGGCTGGGGACTGGTGTTCCTCCATGAATAGAGGCCACTCTCAGGGAGTTTTTCCTGGAACAGAATGGGGTCAGGGAGCCGCTTGGGGAACAATGGTTGCCACCGACTAGCTGAATTTCTTACAATCACACACCATACCCCCTGATCAAATAGCTCCTTTGTCCGGCTGATATAAAAACATGTCATACAATGATGATTTGGAAGAATGACACGGGTTTGCCTTTCACAGAGATCAGAAGGGCTTGTCGTGCAGCAGGGGGAAAAACATCAGAGTCAAGGAAAACCTGGAGAATAAAAGGAGCAAATGGAAACAGACAGCAACAATAAGAAAGGGCTGGGTTGCTCGAAAGGCAGACAAGGGCTTGGTTACCAGCAGGGAGACCGAACAGCCAGCCAGCTCCAAGGAAGGGCCTGCTTGCTGCCCGGTAACCAGTTTCACAGCGCCCCCTTGAAACTCTGGAGAAACTCAAGGATTAAAGAAGTACAACTCGGAAGAAGAGATGGTCCAAGGCGGCTGGTGTGCATGGACCACGGGGAATGCAAAGCAACCGGAGCGATCGTCCTACCCATATCATTATTTTACAGATGGGGAAACTGAGATCTGGGGAGGGACGGTGGCTTAGTCATTTCCTCGGACTGTCCAGATTCAGGTTTGTTTTACAGCTGCTTTTCCTATTTCCCTCACTTTGAAGATGGAAATGCAGGGGCTTCTCAAGCATTCTCTGTTCAGAGAGCAGAAAAGATGAACTTTAGGAGCTGAGCTGGGACTAGGCAGTGCACTCCCGTGTACCTCTGTTTCCCTGTCCACAAGGTGAGGGCACTCCTGAAGCCCCTAGCCAGCCATTAGTGCAGCCACCATTTGTTAAATGCCTTCTGTGCATCCTACCCCGGATAAGGTCCCTGGAGAGAGGAGGAAGGGAGAACTTCATTAAAAGATAAGCCACAGTCACTGGACCCAGTTAGGCAAATGCGGTCTCGGTAGACTGTGTGGACACCAAACCCTGCTTCTCAGCTGAGACCTGTAATCGAGGTGGGCAGGCTTCCTGTCTGTTTCGGGCAGGTCAGACTGAGACTTTGTTGTTCAAAGAGAAAAGGCTCACATAGCAAGATTCCTGCGGCTCCCAGTCATCAAGTAGGTTTACAAAGAAAATGACAATTGTCAATGTCGCTAATTAACATGCATCTTGAGTGCAGCAACTGTAAACGGATCTGAAGCCTTTATATTAGATTTCTCCAGAACTATCTGGGGTTAAAAAGCGGGAGTATTTTGTGTTAATACATTCTCTTTCATTCCCAGATGCTGAAATCCTTTACCCATAGATAGCCAGTTCTCAATGCTACCCCTGTGGGGAATGTGGCAAATGCCACTCTCCCCGTTCCCCAGCTGGGAGGCCTGGGTCACAGAAAGGTTCTAAGGCCTGCAGTGGGGGATGGAAACCAAGACTGTCACCCTCTCATTCACTGCTCTGGCAGACCAAAGAGCAAGGCGCTGGAGAGCAAAACTGGAGATTAAACCAAGAGTGGATCTGGTACACCTCTGTTACAGAAAAGCAAAATTTAATTGATTTGCTTAAATAGATAGTACACATATCTGGTTCTTCAAAAGCTACAAAAGAGTAGAAAGTAAGTCTCCCCACAACCTCTGTCTCTACACACACCATTCCCCACCTGGAGAAGATCAGTTACCAGGTTCTTAAGAGCTATTCTATGCATTTATAACCATATACTTAAAATATATTTCCTTTCTCACATATGATATATCAACTATTCTGCACACACAGACCATGTTAAAATGAATATGAAATTAACAGAAACTCAGGGTGGGGAGGGCTATAAGAACCCAGAGGTTGTCACCTGGTCCTGGAGAGAATGTCCAGCCCTCTCAAGTTGAGCCGCTGGCTCCTGCCTCTGCTTTGGAGAAAGCTATGCATAACGCATAACGCCAGAGGCAGGGTGTACAAGTCCCTCTGAGCTTCCTAAAGAGAACAACCGCCAAAGGTGGCTAGTTGTGGTCCCACAATGATTTTTCCACATAAAAAATGGAAAGTTAGCCAGAATTAAAAATTAAGAGGTCAGGGGCCTCCCACCCCAGAGACTCCTCCTTCTGGCACAATGTCCAGGTGTCTTCATGTAGGAACTCAGAGCCCTTTGGGGTGATGCATCCCATATGGGTTTTAGAGCAAATATTTTGAGTGCTTATAGTGTGTCAGGTTCTTAAAAAGTGATAAGCACTTTTTATATGTTATTTTGGTTAATCCTCATCACTTTATTATCTCCACTGTATCTCTGAGGAAATGGAGGCTTAACTAATAAATAGCAGAGTTAGGAAAACTTGACCTTAAGTCTGTGTTCTACCTTCCCACTCACTCCCATGAGGCTCTTACCTCTGTCTGGTACCTGAAGAAACCAATCAAACTCCTCAGCCTGGATTCAAAGACCCTCCACCATCTGAACAAATTTCTTTCCTAGGCTTATCTCCTCTCGCTCCTTGTCAGGCAGCGCAAGCTTGGGTCACCAGATGGCTTGCTGTTACTGGTCCTTGCAATCTGCCAGGCCTTTGCACAGGCTGTTCCCGCCACATGGAATCTTTTTCTCTCCTCTCTGCCTGGCAAACTACCAACGTGATTTCTCCAAAACTCGATCAGACTGTGTTACTTCACTTTTTAAAACTTCTGTTTCCTCACCACCTTACGTGATCAAGACCAAGTGTCTTAATTTCCAATGGGATCATCATGTTCTGGGTCCCATTGGCCTGTGGGCTCACCACTCCCACTTTCATCTCCTACTTAATGTTCCACTCCCGTGATCTACTTACAGTTCCCTAAACATTTTGGGCACTCTCAGTTCAAGGCCTTTGCTTATGCTGTTCCTTCTTCCTAGAACTCTCTTCTTCCCACCTTTTCCTTCACTTACCTGATTCCTACTTGTCCTGATCATTGCTTGGGCCACACCTCCTCAGAGCTCCTTTCCCTAACCATTCCAGGATATCTGTCCCCTCCTGTACACCCAGGGTATATGTTTTTCTATACTATGAATTCCTCAAGGTCAATAACCAAATTTACTAATGTCTGGTCCCCCAGAGCCTCACAGAGGGCTAGCACCAGGCCGTCTCAAGAAATAAGAGAGGAATGAAAGAACTGATGAATGGATGGATGGATGAACTACAACTTAGAGTTCCTGAATGGGGTCGAGGTACTCAGTCTGACCTTAGACCCTTCCTTTTTGACCAGCTGCTGCCTGATAGTCTTGCAATTACTCCCATTATTTGAAACCTCTTCACTGCAACGTGACCTTGCTTATGTGAGTTTACCTCTTTGAGACTCAGTTTCCTCGAATGCAATATGAGAAGGTAGGAGTACATGATCCCTTCCAGATCCCTTCCAGATCAAATGTTACATGAATCCATGCTGCTTGCAAAGGAGAAGGAATTTTCCAAGCACTGTGTGCTTGTGTGCGGGGAAAGCACCAATGGTGTTGGTGGTTGCAAGAGATTTTCAGAGACTCCAGCTTAACTCTCTAACTCAGGTTGGCAAACTACAGCCCAGGGGCCAACTCCCTCCCACTGCCTGTTTTGTATGGCTCACAAACTAAGAAGGTTTTTAAAGATTTCTATTTTTCCTTTTTTTCTTCCCAAATCCCCCCAGTACATAGTTCTGTATTTTTAGTTGTGAGTCCTTCCAGTTTTGGCATGTGGGATGCTGCCTCAGCATGGCTTGATGAGTGGTGCCATGTCCACGCCCAGGATCCGAACCCGTGAAACCCCAAGCCACCGAAGCAGAGCGTGCCAATGTAACCACTTGGCCACGGGACCAGCCCTAGCAAGGTTTTTTCACATTTTTAAATTGTAAAATTTTTAATTTTAAAATTTACATTTTTTACATTGGGGTAAAAAATCAAAAGAAGAATAATATTTCTTAACAAGTAAAAATCATATGAGATTCAAACTTCAGCATCTATAAGTCAAGCTGTCCTGGAACACAACTGTGCTCATTTGTTATGCATTGTCCATAGCTGCCTCTGCACCACAACAGCAGAGTGGAGCAGTTGTGACCGAGACTGCGGCCCTCAAGTCCTAAAATATTTGCCATCTGGCCCTTTATAGAGAACATTTGCCAACCCGTGTTCTGACTCAACAACACTCAATGGGCTCCCCCTATCCATAACAGCGCTGTCCGATAGAAATATAACGTGAGCCACAGAGGTAATTTAAAATTTTCTAGTAGCCATGTTAAAAAGTAAAATAAACATGATTCTAAAAATTAAGAGTAATAATATATTTTATTTAACCCAATCTATCAAGATGTAATCAATATAAAATTATTAATGAGGTTTTATATTCTTGTGTTCATTCTAAGTCTTCGAAATCTGGTGTGTATTTTGTGCCTATGCCACACCTCAACTTGGACTAGCCATATTTTAAGTGCTCAGTTGTCACATATGGCTAGTGGCTACTATACTTGACAGCTCAGAGTTAGAAATCAAGCCCAAACTCTTTGACATGAAGTTCTAGGCCCTTCGTAATTTGGCCTCAACTTTATTCCTAGCTGCTTCCTCAAATGCTAGCCAGACCGATCCATCCCATGCCTCCTAAATTAGATACAACACTTTCCACCTCTACTTCCTTGCTCTCTCCTTTCTTTCTTTCTTTCTTTTCTTTTTGGTAACAGTTTTATTCAGATATAATTCACATCCCATGCAATCTATCCATTTAATGTGTACAATTCAATGGTTTTTAGTATACTATGTTATGCACCATCACCACAATCAATTTTAGAACATTTTCATCACCCCAAAAGAAACTCCATACACTTTAGCAGTCACCCTCATTCCCCACATCCTCCCTCAGCCCTAGGCAACCACTAATCTATTTCTGGCTCTAAGAATTTGTCTGTGCTTGACATCTCATATAAAGGGAATCATACAATACATGATCTTCTGTCCCTGGCTTCTTTCACTTAGCATAATGTCTTCAAGGTTCATCCCCGTTGTAGCATGTAACAGTTCTTCATTCCTTTTTATTGCTGAATAATATTCCATTGCTCCTTCTTTTCTGGTATGCCCTCTTCCTCCAACAACTTTTCTTCAAGAGATTGAGCCCCAGGGCCCCAGTGAAAACTCAAGAATGAAGAGAAAAGCCTGCCCGTCTTAGTCCACAATGTTTAAGATCAAACACAGGATCTGTTCAGATTTTTAGAGGAAAAAAGAAGATAAAGACTTTGTGAAATCACTACATTAGTAACAAAATACATCATTTTTCTTTAAACCAAAAAAACCACAAACCAAAATATGGTCTAAAGGGAGAACTTCAGATCAAACTGCTGATGACTCTAGAATAGTATACTGAGTGAGCCCGTTCAATGCACCAGTAAACCGAACACGGCAACCCAGCCTCAGCCGAGACCCCACAGTAGAGGCCACAAGAAGTCTGACCTCACTTCCAACCTTCCTCTGTCAGACACTCCGGCTGAGCTGACTGACTGGTCTGCTGACAGCTCCACAGGCAATGATCCCCATGCTCCATACATTCACAACAAGAAAAAAACAAACCAGAAACACCTACTAAACTCCAACCCTTCTTCCTTCAGCTCCTAGGATTATGTTCCAGGTGATTCTGACTCCTCCACCCCCCCACCCCCATGGCCTCGCCCCTTTCCTCTGGCTTAACCCCATGTTCAGCCACAGCTCTATCTTTCCTTCTCCTCTCCTGATTTCCCCTTTCCTACTGCTCCCTTAACTCTTCCCTTTCCTCCTCACTCTCCATCCAGCTTTTAGTTTCTTCTCCTGTTATCTCCCTCCTCTTCTCAAACTCCTCCCTTCTTTTCCACATCTTGGTTGCTCCCCTCTTCCCTCATATCGCCCGACTGCCATCACTTTTCCTCTTCTTTTGTTTTTTTTTCTCTCAGAATGTGCCACGTAAGGATGTGGAGCTGAAAAGCCCCTTAGGCTCATCTCACAGGAGACAGCCAAGATCTAGGAGCCAGATCCGAGGCTGAAATGTGGCTCCATCACTTAGGAACCGTGGTGTGGAACTACGAGCCAATTACTCAACCTCCCTTATAGGATTAACGGTATATAAAATGGCGTACGGTGAGCTCACAATAATCACTCCTCATCCTTTTTAAGCTCGCACTGGAAAAGAGAGTAGGAGACCCTTCCCCACAGGTCGGTCCCAGAACCACCAGTCACCTCTGCGATCTTTCCTTCACACTTCCTCGTTTTGGTCCCTCCCCCGTCCCCACACGCATTCTTTCTCTCTACTTCCGGAGGCCGTTCTTACAGTCTCCCCATCTTTGCTCTTCTCCCACCCTCTGTGCAGCTCCGCTACTCTCCTCTTCTCCTCCCACCTTCCCAACTCTTTTCCAGGCCCCACCTCAAGCAACAGAGCCTTACTGTGCAGGCACTAGGGACGCCCTGCACCATTTAAAGTCAGGTGGCTCCTCAAGGCCCAGGGTCGGCCCAGCAACGGACAGACGGGGCTCACCTGAGTGCCTTCTGATTGGTTGGGCCTCTCAGCCAATGATTTCCTGGTTCCACTGCCCGCTACTGCGCAAGCGCTTTCCAGTCTCACGGGCCAGTCCTTTGAGATCTGGCGCGCGCTTTTTGATGGGGCCGAGCCCAGCTTGAGTTTTAAAATTTCTCCTCTTCCTCCTCTTTTGTTAAGTTTTCGGTGTTATCCTGGTGCTGCTAAAGAAACTTTTGGAAGTACATAAAAGTGAAAGCACACGGTTTCTTCCAAAGCTGTGCCCATCTCCCTGATCGTAGAGTCCAGGTGGGAATGTGAGCTACATATATATTATTGTTAAAATATTGGGATACTGCTGCAACAATAATAGAAGTAGTGATAATAATGGGTAAATTTATTGATATTTTCAGTGTGCACTATGTTAAGTGCTCTTTATGTTTAGCCCTGGCACTGCCATTATTCTCAATTACAGATGTGAAACTGGCCTTACAAAGGCTAAGTAATCGCTCTAGATCTTACACTTAGTAAATAAGTGGTAGAGCCAGGATTTCAATCCGGGTCCGACTCCAGAGCTCGTGTGCAGCCTCTTGGCTGTACAGGGTCGTTCTTACATGCAGCATCTGTTGTCCCTCTGCCTTGGGACAGATGCCCTAGATGGTAATGCTCCTATCGTTAGAAGATGGGAAACACAAGTCAGGACTGAGTTAACGCCTTTGCAAAAGGCCTATTAGGCCTGACTGAGAGCCAGCCATCCTGACTGAGAGACATCCCTTCTCCAGGGATACCAAGGGCTGGACCACAGAGGCTGCCCCTGAGGATGAGGGGCTCCCCCGGGAATCAGTGACCCTGTAGCCACAGCTGCAAATGCTCACTAATAATAACAGTGATCATCTGTAGGGCATGGGCTAGATGCCAGGCAACTTATTGATGTTATTTCAGTCAGCCTCATAATAGCTATACAAGGTGGGTGAAATGATTTGCCAATGCCAGTGTTGTTAGGATTTGAACCCAGGCTTACCTGATGCTGGAAGCTGTGGTATTTCTATCTTGCCTCTTGCTTTTCTGTGAAAATGTAATAGTCACTAAGAGTGAGCCTCTGTTATGTGCCGGGTCCTCTGCTGGGACTCTTACATATATTCTTATCTCCTTGAGTCTGCACAATAATCTCTTCAGAAAGATATGATATTTCCCTTTTACAGATGAAGCAGCTGAGGTTCAGAAAAGCTCGGTAACTTGCTTAAGACTGCATAGCCTGTAAGGAGAAACAATATTCACACTCTGATTGTTTGACTCCTAAGCTCATGCCCTGTCTGCTGCCCTGTGCCAGGGGGCAAAGTTTTGCTCTGCATTGAGGGTTTGGACCAGAGCTGGCTTCAGCTGTGTGAAATTTCTTCAGGACCCCACGTTCTTCCTCTGATACCCTCTATGGGGTGAACTAGGGCAAGACCCTGAGAGGAGGCTGCTGTTCCTCTTTCTGTGAGGGGGTCATAAGGAAACTCTGTGATGTTTCCATGGTTGTGCTTTAGTTCCCCATCCTGTGCATCGAGGTCCTGCTGAGCCTTTGGCTCTCTTGATTTTGTTTAAAAGAAAAATACCCCATGCCATAGACTCACAGGGGTGGGAAGGACTTTGAAGGAGAGTTACTAGTACAACCTTCCATTCGATGCTTCTCTGTGCCCCCGTTTCTTCCTCTGTCTCTCAGGATTTCACAAGACCTTGGGTAGGAGAGGTAAAATAATGGCTGTGGGAGCATAAGAACTGGAATAAATAGTTTATGGTTCTGAATACTCTAGATCAGTAATTCTCAAAGTGTGATCTGGGGACCCCCTGTGTGTCCCCAAGATTCTTTCAGAGGTCTGCAAGGTCAGAATTATTTTATAATAATACCAAGATGTTATTTGCCTTTTTCACTCTCGTTTGCTCACAAGTATACGGTGGAATTTTCCAGAAGCTACAGATTATGGGATATCACAACAGACTGAATAAAAAAGCAAATATGAGAATCATGGCTTCTATGAAGTCAGAAATTAAATAGATTTGCAAAAATGGAAACAATTCTACTCCTCTCACTAATTTTTTTGGGAAAATATAGTTATTTTTAATAGAAATATTTATGTCATATGGAATGAGTTTATTATTTTAAAAAATGAATTAACTGTCTTTTCAAAGTTCTCAGTTTTAATTTCTAATATGGTAAATATTGATAGATATAAACCACATGAAAAAAGCTCTTTGGGGTCTTTGGTATGCTTCAAGAGTGTAAAATGGTCCTGAGACCAAAAAGTTTGAGAACTGTTGCTTTGGATCATCATTAGCATCACACTGACATTATATTAGGCCTAATTGTGAGTGGTGCAAAAGAATTTCTAGAATCACAGTCCTGACTAACTGGAGTTTCCAGTGAAAAGTGCTAATGCCAGCCAGGTCCTCTCACCCCAATGGGACCCAGAGACCACAGCATAAGAATCTGAGCCAGAGTCAGGCTAGGCCCTACGGTGTCAATCACAGCAAAGAGTAAATGCGTTTGTGGAAACGATTTAAAGATGGGATTTATTGGGTATTTTTTTTCAGCCTTATTGAAGTATAATTGAAGTACACTAACTTGCACAGATTTAAAGCGTACGGCTTGATCAGTTTTGATATGTGTATACACCTGTGAAACTATCACCACAATCAAGATTACAAGCATTGTCATCACCCTCGAAAGTTTCTTTGTGCCCCTTTGTAAGCCATCCTTCCCTCCACCCATCCCCAGACACCGCTGATCTGCCTTCTATCACCTTAGATTAGTTTGCATTTTCGGTAACTGTATACACGTGGAATCAGACAGTAAATGCTCTTTTTGCCTGGCTTCTTCCACTCCGTGTGGTGACTCTGAGATTCTTCCATATTGTTGTGTGGGGGAGGAGATTTGAACTCTAGCTCTCCCACCTCCGAATTGCATGACTTTGGGGAAAATACTTTTCTGCTCTTCAGAGAGGAAGCAAAAAATAATTCCTATCTTGCATAGTTGTGAAGATAAAATGAGGCAATATAAGTAAATAAAACACTTAGTTCAGTTCCTGGTAGTTCCTGGGTGGCTGATGCATGGTAGTTATTTTTGAATATAACTTTCTGGGATAGGAATTAAGGAGGGTAACTAGTACAGCGTGGGGTTGGGGGAGAATCTTGTTTAGACTAAGTTGATCCATAGCTCAGGTTTAACTATTTCTTAAAGGTTTCTCACTTGCACACCCCAAACCTCCACACATGCTAACCTAACCAGGAAATTTTTCTTTGGTGAGGGCTGGGGACATGGAAATTTGTAGCTTTGAAAGTCATGCCAATTTGGAGTTACCCTGTTGGAAAAAAACAAAATCCCTCCAGGCTGCTTTGAAAATGGAAAAGGTGTAGTCCTTTTTCATCCTCGTTGATTCCAAGTCCAACTGGCCAACTGTGGAATGAAAATCCCTGCCTGGGGATGGGGCAAACTTCAGAAAATTCTTGGCCAGGAAGTGGGAGATTGAGGTTTTCTGTGTGATCCGTGGCAGCTGAGCCTGAGTTGGGGCCGTAGTGGTCAAGCAGAGGAGTTTCTCAGAGAATCCAAACGGGTTCCCCAGCTTCTGGGCCTTTCTAAGTGCCAAGGGCCATGGGGACCTGTTACAATCATGTTGCATTTGCTACTGGCAACTGAAGCTCCTTGTATCCTCATGCTGCTGGGAGGGAACTGCTTTTTCCTAAGCCTGAAGACACCGTCTGAGAGAAAAAGAAAACAAAGAGGACATGAGAGAAGAAGAGAGGAGGGAGGGTGAGAGAGGGCTGAATTGATCGCCGTCTGTTCAGGTCTAGCTGGAAAACACAATGAAGTGAAAAGGCTTCTTGGTTGGTGTGCTTTTCTTCATTTTTTTCCCAGGGTTTGAAGTGGGGAGGGAGGGATGGGAAAAAAGAAAGGAAGAGGTGGAGGATTGGCAAGGCCTGAGGAGAAGCAGCACGGGGCCCTCAGGGTTGGGGAGGGGAAAGTAACTTGGTGATTCTGGGACCCTCTCAGGTCACCCCCTTACTGGCCAATTCCTTCCTTCCACAAGAGACTGTGGCTCAGGGTGATGCTGCCAGCAGTGCATTTCGAATGAAGAAAAACCAAGCAGCTGAAGGCTGTCCATCTCTGCCCTAGAAAAAAACACCACATAATGTTTCTTCCGGTTGGGGGAGGGCTGGCTGTTGATGTTGGTTTTCTTTTTTTTCCTGTATAGAGTGTTTGCAAACTTTTATTGAGCTCTTACTTTGTGCCGAGCATTCTCCTAAGTGCTTTATAGGTGTTATCTCAATTAATCCTTGTAACAACCTTGTGTGGCGTGGGTTCTATTGTTATCCCCATTTTACAGATAAAGAAACAGAGGCTTGGGAAGTTTGAGTAAAGAACTTAGGTCACGTAACTAGAAGGCGGCAGAACCAGGCTTCATCCAGAGGTGTGTCTGAAGTCTGAGCCTGTGTTTCGAAGCACTGCACTACGCATGTATTTAGATATCGTCTCTTAAATAGCTCACATTTACTATAACTCTGGAGGGAGGAGGGTTGGAGCTGCGAAGAAGCTGGATGATAGTCATGTGCAAAAGCAGCTACAATACAATGTGTTATGAGCCATACTAGCATGTTGAAATAAATGCTTTGGACACCAAAGAAAAGAATACTTATTTCTATAGACCTGAGATGATGAAATTAACAAAACCCTTTTACTTTTTTATTTTTGTCTTTAATATGTGACATTTTAAGAGGTTAAAAGCTCAAGCTGCAGAACTTACTGCCTGGCATCAACTAGGACTGTGACCTTGCTCAAGTTACTTACTGTCTCTGGGATTCAAGTTCTTTATCTATAAAATGAGGACACATTCATTCAACAAATGTTTACTGAGAGCTGTTTTATGTCAGATGCCGTTTTAGGCAACAGAGATAAATTGGTGAACAAGACAGACAAGGACCTTGTGCTCACAGGGCTGACATTCTGGGGCGAAAATAATTGTACCTACCTCATGGGGCTGATGCGTCTGGAACCCCCTAGCTCTTCACTCCTATCCTTTCTTGCCTCGGCTCAAGTCCCATTTTCTCCATTTCCAGAGAAATCTTCCCTGATCTGCCTGACCAGGGCAGTTTCCATAGGACCATGGACCTGTCCTTTATGATACTTCCCATCATCGTAAGTTGTTTGGTTCTCTGATTAAAGTCTGTAAACTCCTTGAGGTCAGGCACAATTTGTGATTTCCTCTTTTATTTTGTTTTTAGCTCACCAGTGACAGGTTCATATTCGGCTCTCATGAAATGCTTGTTGAATGAATAAATGAAATGAGATAATGCATGTAAAGGACTTGGTGTGGCCCTGGCACAGTCAGCATTAAATGAAATGCCATCTTCTATTATTACTTGACATTTATATTTCTTGATTTGACGACAGAAGTAAGCCCCATCTTCACCTACCTGCCTTTGACATCTTGTCCTGAGTAATGGACTCTGTGGGTTGCCTGCCTAACTGCCATTGCCACTTTCTTCCTTGTTGTTAGACCCTGGATGTTGTGTGACTGTTCACCCTTCCCCCAGACTAGTAAGTGGCACAAGTGGGGTTTGAATCTAAGCAGTAGGCTCCACACCTTGAACTTTTAACTTTTTAAAAAGTCACAAATTGGTAAATATATGCAAATCATGTATCTGATAAGGAGTTAATATCCAAAATTTCTAAAGAACTTCTGCAACTCAACAACAACAAAACAAACAACCCAGTTAAAAACTGGGCAAGGGACTTAAACAGACATTTCTCCAAAGAAGAGATACAAATAGCCAGTAAGCGCGTGAAAGATGCGCCACATCGCTAATAGTTAGGGAAGAGCAAAACCAAAGTGGGATACTACCTCACACCCGTTAGGATGGCTGCTATTGAAAAACAACCAAAAACTCCCCACCAAAAGCCAGAAAATAACAAGTGTTGGTGTGGATATTGGGAAATTGGAACTCTTGTGCACTGTTGGTAGAAATGTAAAATGGTGCAGCCACTATGGAAAACAGTATGGCGGTTCCTCAAAAAATAAAAAATAGACTTACTGTTTGATCCAGAAATTCCACTTCTGGGTATATGCCCAAAAGAACTGAAATCCCAGTCTCAAAGAGATATGTGTACAACCATGTTCATAGCAGCATTATTTGTAGGTAGAAGCAACCCAAATGTCTGTTGATGGATGAACGAATAAATATAACGTGGTATATACATACAATGGAATATTATCTAGCCTTAAAAAGGAAGGAAATTCTGATATAAGCTATGATATGCGTAAACCTTGAAGATATTATGCTAAATAAGCTAGACACAGAAGGGCAAATATTGTACAATTCTGCTTGTATGCGGTATCTAGAGTAGTCAAATATATGGAGACAGAAAGTAGAATGGTGGTTGCTAGGGGCTGGGAGAAAGAAGAATGGAGAGTTATTGGTTAATAGGTACAGAGTTTCAGTTTTGTAAGATGAGGAGAGTTCTGTGGATGTGCGGTGGTGATGGTAACACAACAGGGTGAATGTACTTAATGCCATTGAACTGTACATTTGAAAATGGTTAAGAGGCTAAGTTTTGTTATGTGCTGTTTTCTACCACAGTTTTTAAAAAGTTGATCAACAAAATTCTTTTCAATTAAAAAAAAGTCACATATTAGTCTGGGAATTATATTTCAATATAGCTGATGTACATATGTACACGTGTGTGTACATATATGTGTATATAAAGTCACATATTAAAAAAAAAAGTAAAAGGAGTTTCTTAACCTCATCATCCCGGGTCTGCAGGCCCACCAGTCATGGCAATCCCATTGGTCTTATTGGTGATTTGTGTACAGGTGGGTATGTGATGAGATTCTGGCACGTGGGACATGAAGGTAAGTCTGCTGGGGGGCTTCTGAGAAAAGTTCCTCACTGATAGAGAGAGATGCACAGGAAGATAGGGCCTGTCCTCTGCTAGGTCTCATCTCATCCACATAGGATATCTAGGACTGCAGCAGCAAGTTTGGAACCACGAAGGGTACTAATGGAGACAATGTTGACATGCCCAGGATGTCAGAATTGAAAAATGCTTCACCCAAAATCACGACATCATTGAATTTTAAATTAAACAACTCCAGGGCCCTCCTTCTTCCAGACTTCTTCTTATATGAGATTATAAATGTTCTTTATTGTTCAAGCCATTTTGAGTTGGGTTTTCTGTAACTTGTGGCCGAAGACATCCTAATAGATACAGAATATCATAAAATCAGGGCTAGGATTCTCTGGCCCTTTGAGTGCTTTTCCTTTATGCAGCCTCCCCCAAGTCAGAATACATCACATTTTCCTCTCCCAAGGAAGCTCTGTTCCTTTGACAGCAAGAGTTGGCAGGAGTCCCAGTGGAGGCTGCAGGTTTGTGGCAGCTGTGGAGGTGCACCACTCAGATGGCCCTTCAAGGAAGAACTTGCCGGGCGGCTGCCCTTTTGAGCCGAGCCCGTGCTCCCCATGGTCGGCCCTCGCTAATGACTGCTAATGACTGAGCGTAGTGAGGGTACCAGGGCCTGGCCTTCCTGCCCAGCGTAGGACCCCTCTAATCAGCAGTCTTTCCTCCAGAGCCTTTCCTGCCCAGTTCTGCTTCTTCCCTCTTTTATCTTTCATAGGCGTTCCCACCCCCCACCCCAAACTGCTTGCACACCTCACCCTGTCTCAGCTTCTCATTCTGAGAGGGCCCAATTGATACAGAGTTGAAGATCAGCAATGACTCCTTTTTGAAGGATTTGTGCAGCCGGGTCTGAAAATAGAAGGCCTATTTTCTCCTTCTTGTCATTCTATATCTTTATAAACATATTCCTAATATTTTGAGTTGCAGGTCAGGAGACACTCAATTATTTAGCAATTGTTACGTGCCTGTTCACTCTGGCATTGTACTAGAGGCCTTGCATTCCTGAGCTCCTTTAATCCTCAGAGCAATCCTGTGAGATGGGTCTAAGTATTATTTAACAGAGGACGAAGCTAAGTCTTGAAAAGTTAGGTGATGTACCCAAGGTCACCTCGTCAGAGAGTGGCAGATCTCATTTTATTCAGAGACCCGTGCCTCCCTGTCTAAAACACTTCCCCTACTTTGATTAGTCTCTTCTCCTCTGCCCCACTTTACTGCTCTCTGAAATTACAGTTTTATACGTTTATTGTCTGTCTGTCTGTCTCTCTCTGAAAGGGAATCTTTGCAGGGCAGTGGTCGTGTGCAATTTACTGCTGTATCCCCAGGACCTTGAACAGTGCCTGGTGCTGAGCTGTGCTCACTGAGTGGGTGCAAAAAGGAAACTAAGCTCATCTTTAAGACCTGTTTATATTCATTGTTTTAAATAATAATATGCCACATTTGAATAACACTCTGCAGTTTACAATGTGTTTCCACTGTCATCTCATTTAATCCTTACAGAAATCTTTGAGGTGGGCCTGACCATCTTAGTCCTTCCTCAGGGTCTTCTCACACTCGCTGGTCCTTCTGCCTGGAATGCTTTCCCCTCAGTTCTTTACCTACATCACTCTCTGCCTCCTTCTATATCACTTCCTTGGGGAAGCTGGCCCTGATCCTGCAGCTCAAGTTAGGAACCCATGTTACACACTCCCTTCATAACTTGTAAGTCTCTTGTAGCCCTTATCACAATGGTAGTTAAATAGTTATGTACTTCTTTTATGACTGGCTCCCCCACTAGCCGAGGATCCATGAAGACAAGGTCTTGCCA